TTTAATTCAATAGAATTTTAATGCAGATTTTTCAATAAAGCCATTAAAAATAAGTCCAGTCTTATAGGCTACTGTGAGAAAATGTTTTAAAAATTCTTATTAAAAAAAAAGCAAAATGACATTAGAAAATGAAAATGAGAGTGTGGGACAGAAGGGATTTTAACTTTCACGAGGTAATTTTTGCATAGTCTGCGTTTACTAGATAACTGTGTCATTTGCACTCTCAAAGTCTCCACTTGCCTACCTTCAGTCGTTCTGTTTGCTCTCCTCACCGAGTGATGACAATTAGAGTTGGGATTAATGTTGGGATTCACTTTCTCCATGAAACGTGAGTCAGATGGTGGGGTGGGATGCACAGACATGCTTATATTGAGATGGTCCTTTTGATGCTGAGGTATGACTAATCTGGGAAACACAACTTTAGAGCAAGATCTTCTTACAGACAAATGTTCAAGTGCCCCGAAGGGTCTTGTATGTTAGTGCATCCCTTAAACTTATTGTGTCATGGTGCTCGCTTCGGCAGCACATATACTAAACTTATTGTGTCATTATTCAAATCATACTCAATAAACATGGGAAGAAATTATGGTCCAGAATAAGAATCAAGCAAAGGCTACTTCTGCAATTTTTGGAGGTTCTGAGTGTTTCTTGGTGGCACGTTTCCCTTCAGCAATCTGGTGAAGCTAATGATCCATTATAGGAATAATGGCTCCTTTCTCTCCTCAAAAAGGTTTTAAAATTTATAAAATAATGTGTATGATCATAACAGAACAAATTATATTGCTATAGAGTTACTCAAATCTTAAAAAAGTGTTGATAGAGCAATGTATGAGCTTTTTATAGAAGTATTAAATAATAAGATCTGGTTGTGGCCCAGTGATTTCCATAATTTCAGAGCAGTGCTGAGTGTAGGTGCTATTTCAAGGTGTTTGCAAAACCAGTAATAAGATCCAAACATATATATGAGTTCTATTGGTGATCATCACAGTTGTAATCTGGTGTCACACTTGAAGGCAATGCATTAGTGAAAACCAAGATGCCCTTTTCCTTCATCTGTTGAGATGCCGAATTCATTTTCCAGGTCAGAAACCACTGGCCTAACTGAAGGATTAGGGAAGAGCAAGAGACAGGGAAAAAGTCAAGGTGGGAAGAATACGCTGGGAAGGAGTGAAATCCACCATTAGGAGGGAAGGATGCCTCTGGCTTGGTTTCCCCATATAAGGATGAGGAAGTGGGTGGACACAGCACATAGGTGATTGGGAAACAGGGTGGAAGTCTTTGATTGGATGGCTTTAGTGTGAATGAATGGATGAAGGAAAGCAAGAGGTAGTTGTAAGCAAGTATGGCAAAACCCAGATGTCAGAGGCAACTCAGTGAGGGAGAAGATCCAGCTGAAAGGCCTTGTAGGTGCAGAAAAGGCTAAAAGCTGGATTCCTGAAGGGTATTTTCAAGGGACCCAGGAGGGGGTGAACAAACAGGGTAAAAAGACAGATGAGGAATTCACGAAGATGTTAGGTTTTAAGAGATTTGCAAATAGGAAGAGCAGTAGGAAAAGAGGAGAGGGCTGAAGGTTCACTTGGGTCTTAGGAATGCTATTTATTTAACACCATGGTTGACACTGAAACATTTCCAGTAAGTGCCAACAGCACTAGATGTTTTAATAGTTCTTATAAGAACATGTGCTACAGAAGATGCATATTTCAGATATCTCATGAGACACTTTTCAGAACTTTCTAAATCTTAAATGCATAGCTCTCTGGCCTTTCATCTGTGTTTTTATCTCCTCTGTCTTATCCGTGGCATGAACTACTCCTTTTGCTACTGTTTTCTTCGTGGTAGAAATCTGAACATCAGGTCCAGACTCCTCAGCACCCTGAAGAGCTGTATGTTAGCAGGTCTGAAGGCTTAAGACAACAGAGGGGCACTGGTCTTGCTCCCTTCCCTGGGACTTCATTAGCTACTATGCCTGCTTGATCTTTATGCATGGGGAGTTTAGAGCGATTCACCCATCCCCGAGGTCACCGCATAGAGCCTTCACTTGACTTAGACCCGATTGAGACCCTTCAGTTGTATCTAAGAGGGATTTGGGCGAGTTGAAGACTGAACCTGAACCAGTGGGCTATGTGCACATGGTCTCCACATCAGCTGTAGCCACCTAAGGCCATATTAAGGCTCCTCCTCCCTAGGGCACTGATAACCAGTGATGAACGGGTCATAATACAGATGGTGATTCTAGGATTGAGCCCATCAATGACCAAGAAATGAATTAACCTAAGCCAGCCATGGTGGCACCCGCTTGTAAATCTCAACACTCTGGGAGGCTGACGTGGTCAGGTGGTCAGGTGAGCCCAACCTGGGGTACTTAGTGAGACCCTGTTTCAAGATAAAAAATAAAAAGGGATGGAGATGTAGCTCAGAGGAGGCTCTGATCTCCAGTATTAGAGGCAGAGGAGAGGGGACAGTTGATCCTCCATATCTGCAGGCTACACATCTGAGGGTCTCACACCCACAGATATAACTAAGCACAGCTTGAAAATATATATACAAAGAATTGCATAGTACTATATGCAAACATTCTTCCCTGTCATCCCTAAACAATACAGAAGAGCAACTATTTACATAGCAGTTGTGTTGCATTTGGGCATTATAAGCAATTTAGGGATGATTTTAAGTATACAGGAGTATGTGAGTTATATGCAAATATTATGGCACTTTATATAAGGAAATTGAGCATCCATGGATTTTGGTATCCACAGGGGTCTTGGAATCAATCCCCTTTGGATATGAAGGGATGATTGTGTTTCCCCAACAAAAATTCCTGAAAGTTAGTCTTTCATTTGTACACATGGCTGAAGGGAACAAGTTCAGTTGGATCCAAGTTGATCCGAATCTGTGTAACATTAGGAGACTTCTGTAATTCGCATGCCTTTTTAGAGGGAGTACAACAATGAGGCTAGGTATGATGGAGTTTATTTTCCGAGTTGTGGTTAGACCACAGTAATACCACAAAAGCTGTCACAGCTCAAGTCAACCTTTAGGAATTTACCCGCAGATGTAGAGTCAGAGATAAGATTCAAAACGAAGCCTGAACTTGAACAAACGAGGCTAAGAATTTTGAATGGTTTCGACTTGCATCAGCTTTTCAGCAGTTTTGGCTGAAGTAAGCTGCTGCGCTGTCATCTGGCCCTGACCTGGTGCCAGCTCCATGGAGCGATGTGTCTTTCTCCTCTCTGTCATCTGGAGTTCTTGGACAACTTTCGAGCATGCTTGGGGCAAAGCCTTGAATATCCAGGCAAAGGGATCTTGTCTGGGTTAGAATAAGGCGAATGTAGGTCAATAAATAGCAGCCCACTGCTTAGAGTGAGGTGAAATGAAGGCTTTCTTCTTGTTTTCCAATCCATAAGGTTTCTGCATATTTTTAAATATATATGTGTAATCCACTCTCTAACAACTGTAGAAATCAATTTCTTTGAAAAATTGAATTGCTCGGGCCAGGGATTTAGCTCAGTGGCGCTGCATCTGCCTCGCAAGCACAAGGTCCTGAGTTCCATCCCCCGTACCAAAAAAAAAAAAGAAATTGAATTGCTCAGACTTGTCACAACAGGTGCTAAGAATGCATAGATAAAAGTAGCAGGAAGGGAAGCCGGAAGATGGTTGTGTGTCGAGGAGACAGATAGGTAGGTAGACAAGACAGGGTTCACAGTTGGCCACTAAGCACAACCTGAATGACCCGCTATGTAACTGATTATTTCAGGCAAAGGGTAGAGAAGGTGAAAGCAGCTGCCCATACTCTGTGATTTAATAGGAAGCAGTACAGGTTGAGCATCCCTTATCCCAAATACTTGGAACTAAGCATTTGTCAGATTTCGGGGATTTGGGCACTTTGGAATATCTGCATCCCAGCTGAGTAGCCCTCTGAAAATCCAAAGTCTGCAATATTCCAAAATCCAAAACTTCTTTTGTATTATGTTGTTACCCAACAAGTTTTGGATTTCAAATTAGGGATGCTGAACACACATAATCCCTGGTTTACAAAGCAAGACAAGGACCTAAAATTGGAGAACTCAGTATCACAAAGAAAATCCAAAACTTAGAAAGGAGTAACAAGGTCCTACATGGAAAATTTCTATAAATGCTTAGGAAATGTGAGACTTCCCTTGGATGTTGTGTCGAAGGTTAGTCTGCCGGAGGAAACGGGACTGGATCCTATCTCAGTGATACTTCACTTTTGGCAGATGGTGCATTTAACTTTGACAAAGCTAAATGCCTTGCCTTTCGTGGCCTTATTTAGAATTGCTCTGAGATTCTCTATAGCATCATAAGGTATGAGACTGGTATGTGTGCCCAGTAACAACCTATGCAGATGCAGAGGTCTGCAGCGATGTTACTGGCTTGGTGCACAGACTGTACTTTGAGTCCATCAATAAGGGGAATTGTACATGAAGAAATGAATACTGAGATTTCAGGTTCCGTGGTATTATTCTAGTTTCGAACTGTGTAAGTAAAAAGAAAGCATGGCCCAAAAGATGTACTCACATGCATTCTGTAAGACCCAGCCAGGGGTAGAAAAGGGGCCACCCATGCATGAGAGAGAAGTCCTGTGCCACTAAGGTTTCAAAGTAGGGTCCCCTTAAACTGCCAAAAAAGAAGTTAGCAAAGATGCCTTTGTAAATAGTTAAGTGGACCTGTCAGGAAGGGCCTTTCAGAGCACAGTGTGGGGGATTAGTTATAGTACTGGAATAATGGAGGGTTCTAAAATTTGCTCCCCCAATTTAAAAGCTATGCTATCTTCCTGTTTGGATTAGCCTTTCACACCCACACATCTACTCACAAGCATGTACACACACACACACACACACACACACCCAAGAGGTCTTACATAGGTCATCCTCGTCCAGCATGCGCTCCCCTCAAATGCACCCCTTTGTGCTTCCCAGCCCTCAAACTGGGCAGGCCTAAATTATGAGCCATTGGGTCTAGGGAATGAGAAACCACTGGACTTGTATTTTCTTTTAAATCTTTATTTGCCACTTGCATCCTTTTATCCCACCGATGCGAACTGTGGACACCAGCTGGAGGCCTCATTTGGTGCATTTGTGAGGGGATCCCAAGCATCACACAGGTGACAAGAGCATCTGTCAGGAGCCCGGGACAGCAAACACCGAACTGCTGGAGGACACACAGGAAGGCCATCTCCCACAGTAGTTTGGCCTTTAAAATACTAACAGTTGCATTGTCCCCTTTTTTTCTTTAATAATAAAAAGGAAAACCAAAATCTTCTATAATTTATAAGCTATTTTTTGCTATCTACATTATATATAAAATATAGACTCTGTTTACTTTATAACACACATCTTTTTCCCTTGATAAATAACTCTTTAAAATATCTAGTATACATGCCTTGACTTTTTATATATGTTTGTTATAGATATACATATATACTCATGTTTGTAAAACACAATAAATATATACTTGACAAAGACAACCAAACTGATGCAATTTTGGTTTAAAAAAAAACACCCACATACACACAAAACAAATGAAAAGCACCAGGCAGCAAACAGAAAGCCATACTGGCAAGAAACTTTTCCCTCCCCTGGACAAGGCACAGGGCAGCATAAAGGAATGGGTCAGGTCACAGCTTTTGTTTCTTAACAGGGGATTCCACTCAGCAAAACGAATAAGTCACTGTGTTTACAAGGGGAAACCATGGGGCTCTTTAGTAAATTAGCCCTTGTGGTGGCTGCAAAGGACAGTAGAGAGCGCATCGGGAAGGGGAGCAGTAGGGACGTGGCGACTCCATGGCCAGTGTGTACTCCACGGCCAGCTGGGCTCTGACTGACGTGTGATGCCTCAAGCCATTACTGCTGGTGTGAACCCAAAGGACTGCACAGATTTGAGGGCATGCAGTAGTGCAACACTTCCGGAACCTGAAGGAGATAGCCAACTCGGTGGCCCTCTTGAGGGCTCCAGCAAATAGGGACCACAACGTGGAGGAAAAAAGGGCCAGCAGGCTATGACCTTCCTTTCCTGTGGTTACTCGGATACAGCACTGGCTTCATGGCCAGCCCCTAACAGGCCCACTGGACCCGTCACTTTTAAAGAAGCACAGGAGAGAAGTCTGGGGCAACCTGGACAGTCCTCTGCTTCTAACACAGGGTGGGACAGGCCAGGGAGCCCTCTGGAACCATCCTGCAGACACGTCCAACTTTTCCTTCCTACCCTCGTTCCTTCTCCCCCAAATGGAACTGAAATACAGGGTTCTCATAGCTGATTTTGTTTTCCAATAAGCTCCCCAGTGTCCTGACTTCCATCTTGTGAACTCCAGGGCTTTGATGGCCCAAACAAAATAAGCAGTGGGTGGAGTGAGAATCCAAAGCTGGACAGACCCTACATGTGTTTCCAGCAATGGGGAAGGAGCATGATAGATAGAGAGATAGATAGATAGATGTCTCCCAAAGGGGAAAAGCTGAATGCATGCCCTCACCCTTTCCAAGTAAAATACAAGTTAGAGACAATGGTTCACATTATGGTCACAATGGAAAATTCTAAACAGTAAGTACACTCAAGACATAACTGAATTTCTGCAACAGCTCAGGAAATACAGTCCAGTGCAGGTCTGATGCCTAATTCCAACTTCTCCAACTGGCCAGCAGGAGACCTCAGACCAGTTGCTTCCCTCTCTGTCTCCTGACCTCGTCTGAAAGCTCCAAAGGGTGCCGTGCGCAGCAGGGTGAATGGTAGGGCCGGTTTGAGAAGCCCAGTTTCCTATCACTAAAGAAGTGGGGTGATCTTGGCCATCACTTTCTCTTTCTGGGGTATAAAATGAAAGCACTGACTCTGAAATCCCTTTACATGCAACTGGATTTTCTCCTCCCCAGGATACCATTAGCAGATACTTTCCTCCTATGCTCATCAGCCAGTTTAAACACAGGTCACATTCAATAGCTGCAGCTACCAGACAAGATGAAGAGAGGGAGGACTGAAAGGGTTCATATACACAGCTAAACTCCAAGTCACAGCAAATGAACCTTCAAAGCCCCACTCGCTGAGAAAAGTTTTCCTATGTTAGTCACACTCAGGCCCCTCAAAGTCCATGGCCACCTATAATAGACTGCAATGCTTTAAAAATCCCCAACTCTGAGGTTTTCTTGGTCAGCTACAATCAAAAATTGATGCAGAAAATCCATTTGAAAAGAAGCTGATATTTTCACTTTGGAAGGGGAAACAAAGAGTCGACTACTTGTACTTGCAGTTTTAGGAACTAACCTTCTGGCAAAAGCTCAGATGTGGTGTCCTGCTCAGTAGGAGGGGGTATGGGCGGGGGGGGTGGTCTCTGTCCATTCTTACCACGTGGTGCCCCAGGGTGGGAGAGCTGACCCAGGCTCTCTAGGGCTGCACAGGAAGCGCTCTTCCCACCTGACAAGAACAGCCAAAGCCCAAACTGGATTGAAAGAGGTAAGGTTTTGCATTAAGTGAGCCCACTTCTGCTCACTAGCTGAGACTTTGGGCAGGTTACTTTCTCCTATGTCAAAAGAGAATGGTAGTCCCCAGTACTCTAGGGTCATCTTATGGATTTCATGAGCTAATATCCTTGAATGCTGCACACACAGAGGCTAAGTCTTGGAGTTGGCCAGTCTTGGCCAAGATTGCTCCTGCACAGTCCAGATAACCCATCATGGCAGCGTTTGCAACCAGGTATGCTAAGGTGCCCTGGAGGCATACACAGTGCCACTTTCCCAGGGAGGGGAGAAGTCTTAGAGAAACTGACAGTGGTCACAGTCTCCAAACTTTCCAAATAAGCCTGAGACTTCCCAAGTACTTGTGAATACCCAAAAAGAACCTGGACCAACATCCTGAGAATGTGGAATCTCAGACTTGTGCAGAAGCAATGAGCAGCATCTGCATAATAATGGGAACAAGATAGGCAAGAGGGACACTAGCATATGTTTCAAGGGCTTGATGGAGGCAGCATTTTAGAGAAAGCAAAAGAGGCTGGATTACTGGTGGGACTTAGTCCAAGGTCAAAGTTGGGGTGATACCTAAACCCCCAATGGTTCCGGGTTGGAAACAGTCATACAGAACACTGGGGAATGCTTACAATTTCAGCCTCAGACTGCTGCTCCTAGTCAAGGCTTTGCACATGGTAGGACAAGAGTAGAAGGAACACTAAGGAAATCTCTTAACCATTTGCTGTCATTCTCATAGTTTTAAAACAATGAACTACCTACGTCTTAATTCTTCCTCTTGTTCCTACATCTACCTACTACATGCACTTCGGTAGCTAAAATTTGAGTACACTTACTAAAATTTTTTCATGCTTCTTTTAAAATATAGTCTTTCTGTATCTCCCAGCCTCAAATGAGAATTTTTGTTTTAGACCCTGAATATGTATCAGAGCCCAGAGGCCTTTGGGATCTCTCAAGTATCAGTTAAGTACAAAACATAATGTCAAATCCCCACGAATATCTATCAATGACTTAGAAAAATGAGACCCATGGAGTCATCTACTTTCCCTTCATCCAGTGACCTGATCACTGCAAAACTGGAAATGGTGACCATGAAGTGTCAACCGACTAGGGCGCAGGATGAGCCACAGACTCTGCCAAGCGTTGCAGTAAGGCCTGGGGAAACAGAGTGAGCAATCCTTTGTCCTAGAAAATGAGTGACCTCCCTTTGGTGTTTGGACACATCCGCAGTGTGCCTGTGAGAAGCCAGGGACTTTGAACTGTATTGACCCCAGGCAGGAGGGCGGAAGCTGTAACTGTTTGCTTTAGGTGTTTGCCTGCTCCGGTGCGGGGTGGACTCCAGCTTCTCCTGCTGGTTATCTGCAAAGGAGCCCAAACCGCTGCATGCCAAAGACTACTTACTCTATGGCTTCAGTGAGCCTGTGAACAAAAGTTGTGCAGAATACAAGGAGGAGCACTCAGGTCCCGCCTCGACAAATGCCTCATGGGGACTGAGAGGTTAGAAGAGTAACCGCCCAGTTTCAAAATGGACTTGACTTAGTCTTGCATTCAAGACCAGATCTGAATTGTAAAAAATGGTATCCGTCCCCCTTGATGACAGGAAGTATTACAAACATGTGGGTTCGTGCCTACACGTGACTGGGGGTTCCTTCTGGCTCGTGCCTACCATTGTTCCTAAAGCTCCGTAGAGGGAAAAAGAAGAAAGCAACAGGAGAGCAAGTAGAAGAAATACTTCTTCCCCTCTGAGTTCCCTACACCTCCAATTTAGAAATCCTGAAAACTATGTTCTTTGCTATCCTTTTGCTTAATACCTATTCAGAAGTCTCAGGTGTCCACATCCTGAGAGCCTCGGCCACAGCAAAGGAAAACAACCTCTCCTCTTTAAGGGAAGGGAATTCTGAGTGGAAGCGAAGGCTTCTCTTCTCCATCCGAAAAGCTGGGTACGACTCCTAGAGACGAGTGGTGATGCCCAGCGCAGCTCTGGGGCTAGGCTCGTTTTCCCTTCATACTGGGACACTGGGGCCCACGGCTGTCCGCAGTCCTGGAGGGGGCCCTTGCAGGGTGGGGGTCCCAGTGCTACCTGGAGAGCCAGGGAACAAGGAATGCTGCTGCTTCTCACCCACCCTGCCTGGGAAGCTCCTTGTGGTCATCCCGCTGCGGATGAGCTCAGAGGGAGTTTACTCTCTGCCTGCTGTGCCACTGTGGTGTTCTCACCTTTCAGTCTGCAAGAACCTGTGCTCTGCTAGCTGTTCTTCACGCTCCCTTACTGCGGCAGGTGAACGAAAGGCCAAAGAGCCACGGTTCTGCTTCCCAATTAAGGAAACTGTACTTTGCTACCACCTATCTGTCCTTCAGACACCGTACATAGAATCAAAAGCGGCTTCCTGGAATTTAACTTTCTCCCAAGACCTAGAGGCATATTAGAGATGTGATCACGCCATCTGACACATGCCTTGTCAGAGGCCACAGTGCTGGGTGGATGAGGTAGGGCGGGAAGCAAGCCCTCCTTGCTTCTCACAGTGCCGGGCAGCCAGGGCTGCTCAACCTCCTCTCCCTGAGCCAGACACCCAGAAGGGGCCAGGCAGGGATAGCAGGCCTCACTGAATACTCCCCCGGTAGTGCTCTGTCCACCAACACCAGGCCGGGGTCCCCCTTCTGAGATGCCATTTATTCTCACCCACCATGCATTTCCCTCGGGTCCCCCTCGGGTCCGCGCTAACAGTAGAGAGACATCCTGCTGCGGCGCATGGCCTCGCTGATCAGGTAGGCGGGGCTCAGCTCGGGCTCCTCAGTCATGATGGCGATGTTCTGCCACTCGCCGGTCTGGCTGGACCTCTTGATGGTGTCCACCACGCAGAGCGCGTACAGGCAGTCGTCGAAGGTGGCGGCCATGGTGAGCGGCCGCCCGTCCCACGTGCGGCGGTCGTCCTGGTCCTGGAAGGCCTGGCGCACTGCCTGCATCATCTTCATGGTGCCGCGCAGGTAGGGCGCGGGGATGTCGCTGAAGGCCTTGGCGGGCAGCAGCGAGTTGCTCACGGGCGAGGCGTCCTGCAGCAGCAGCTCCTGCTCGGCCTCGCTGTTGCGCTGCCCGTACAGGTCAGTGCCCACGGCCAGCAGGCGCCCGGCCGCCCCCACCACAGTCACGTCCTGCTTGAACTCGCCAGGCACGTTGAAGTTGAGGGTCACGGTGCAGCACACGCCGCCCTCCAGCACCATCTGGAAGGTGCAGAAGTCGTCGCTGGTGATCTGGCGGATGCCCTTGATGTGGTCCGTCTGCTTGACGAAGGTCTTGAGCAGCCCGTGCACCTTGACGGCCTTCTGGCCGGTGAGGAAGGTGAGCAGGTCAATGATGTAGGTGCCCACCGAGTGCAGCCCGCCACCGCCCATCAGGTCGTCGCAGCTCCAGTTGTACTTCTTGCCCAGCAGGCTGCCGCCGTGCACCTGCACCTCGCACACCAGCAGCTCCCCCACGTAGCCCTCCTCGATCAGCTGCTTCATGCGCACGAAGGCCGGCAGGAAGCGCAGCACGTTGCCCATGATGCTCATGAGCTTGGGGTAGTAGTGGGCCGCCGACATCATGCGGAAGGCGTCCAGCGGAGTGGCCGTGCGGTCGCAGATGACGTTCTTGCCGATGCCTGCGGGGACAAGGACAGCGGATCAGCGCGCGGAGCGGGCGCCAGGGGGCGCTGTGGCCCCAGAGCGCGGGCCCCGCCCCCTAGGTTAGTTTAAGGCTGAAGCTTTTATTCACATTTATTGCTATTTACTATCACTTAGGAAACTCACGCAATGAAACTTTCCTTATGTAAAATACATCATACATAGTACAATACTACTCTCCATGTTTAAGTTGAATTAATTATAATAGTAAATCATTGGTATTGACTTAAATAGGAAGGTTTAATATACTTACATAGCCTATATTTTAAACTATTTGCTGATATAAGCGAGTGCTTTAATATTTCCACAAATCCGTAACATTTTATAAACAACTGTCTTGCTTATAAAGCAATTTATACGTAAAATAGGATGGTTTTATGAAAGTACACGATATCTTTTGTTAAAATATTTTGTATATAATTTTATACGTATATAAGATAATTTTACATGTAAAGTATGTTAGCTTAAAATGCATTATTATTTAAAATATTCTCAATATTTTTAGGATGGGGGAGCAGTACCTAGATAAAACCAGGATCTGTGAGCTTAATTCCTAGCCCAGGGGGTCTGATTAAATGTGAGGAGGAATTTCTTAACAATTCCCTTTGAAGGTTTAAACTTTCGGCACTCTCCCCTCCCCCAGGGTTGTACTTGGAGCCTTGGTTTTTTTTACATTCTAGATTAGGGCTGGCAGTGGCTGCAGATGTTTGCTTAATGTTTTCCTCTTCCCATAAACGGGCAGGTTCATTACATGGAGGGTGGGCTGTGCCTGGCTCCTCCGCCTCAGGCTGGAGTTTGTTGCTTTTGGCCAGTGGCCTTTGGGCCAAATAAGCATCAGTCCTGTGTGATGCCCGTAATGGGTATAAATTACAGAGGCTGCAAGATGCCTGTCTGAGCCCTGCAGGAGACTAAGTGGTCCTGGGTCTGCAGCAAACAAAGGATCAAAGGAAATGAGAGTGACAGGGACTGTGAAAGGGATTTGTTCTGCAGAAGCCAAGAGTCAGGGAAAGAGGAAAAAAAAACTCTGCTGGACCTGCAGAAACAGCTAACTGCAACACAAAAAATATGGATGTGTTAGGAAGCCCGGTAAAACGTACTCGAGGTACTGAGTCCAGGCATGTGCGGGTCCTTGTGGCCCAGTCCTAATAACCTCTCAAGAGGAGCCCTGGGCACTCAGCTCATGGATGAGACCCTGAGAGAAGCAGAGTGATGAGACACCTACGAACTCTGCAAACAAGCTGAGCCAGGACAGGGCTCTGTGGAAGTCCTGAGTTGTAGATGTCCGACCACTGCAGCCTGGTGTGTGACCCATTTTTCCCCTTGCAGGAGAGAGCCAAACAGTTGAGGTGATCAGGGAAAACTGGAGAAAAGAAACACAAACAATACCCCTTGATTCCCAGGTACACATCTAGTTCTGGCCCGAGAGGGACCCCAGAGCCCCAGACTGGCCGTATCTCCTTGTCTTTTCCACACTGCCAGAGCGGGGCTGTCCCTCTTCATGACGAGGCCTGTGCAGGCAAAAGCCCTTTCAACTCCTAGCAACCAGGTGAGGATGGGGATTCTCACAGAGGGCTGAGGTAATGTTGGTTTGCGTCACTCAAAGTCCCACGCACCTGGGAAACAGCATATTGTGAGGAACTGATCTTGTAGGCATCAGGCTCATGGTGCCATGAACAGATTTACATGTCAACGGCTTGGTGGGTCCCTGCAGGGACAGGTGACAGATTCTGCCAAGATCTGCCTCACACCTGCTGGGTAAAAGCTCTGGCTTCTGCTATACTCTGCCTCAAGATCCCCAAAATCAGGACACTGACTGCCATCTCCTTAGTGTACTCTCTTGGTTAGATGGATGGCACTTTTTTAAAAAGTTTGTTTTTCTATTATAAAAACTAAGTAGAGAAAAATAATGCACCTTCCTTACCACAACCCCACCCCCAATAATCATCGAATGGGAAATTGTTAGCAGCTCTGTAGATTCTGATGAAAGCTCCAGAAAACACAAGATGAACCCCACACTAAAAGGTATTCCATCCTGAAATTCACACTTGGATTCTCCCAGGTCCAGGTATCTCTTTCTTTAGAATATTTGTGTATATTGTGATTCCATGTATCCAGTCAGTTCCTCAAGGACAAACCCTGGGACTTAAGCTTCTCCAGTGTCCACAGTGCTGAGCACTATGTCTTGCATATGGCAGGAACACGCCACATATTGCCACCTGGCCCCATCTCTGCTATCTTTTGTGACATCCATGTTCACAGGCCCCGGTAGAATCTTAACATACAATATCCTCAAAATCAGAAGAAATATCTAGGGCGCTACTGCAAAGAAATAACCTAAAATGGAAAGATGCATCTCACTGCACAAATTATTGAAACAAACTAGGCACAATGCAAATGCCCAACATTATAAGGATAAGAAAACTGGGGTATGGCCATATAATAGAATATTGTGCAGCTACAGAACATGGTGCCTATAAAGACCATTCAATGATAAGCAAGATGATCATGATGTAATGTTATAAGAAAAGGGTTCTATTCATAGGCATACTAGGATCTCAACTCTAAAGAGACAAAGAAAAATGCCAGAATGGACTACCTCAACATGTTTATAGTGGTTAACTAATTAGCAGGAGGACGACTGCTTTTTCTTTTTGGTGCTGGGGATTGAATGAACTCAGGGCCTCATACATGCTAAGTAGTGTTCTACCGTTGAACTACATCTGCAGCCCCGAGATTACGATCTGAAAAATAAAAATACTTGTTTTTGAACCAAATGATACAGGATCACTGAAGGACAGCACTAGGTGTTGACAAAGGGACCCTCCCATGTCAGAAGTCCCCGCTTTCATGGGCCTGTCCCTAGTTCCTGTGACTCCAACATGGCACAAGCATCCTGACCTTGAACTTTCTTTGTAAGCATCAGAGGCTCAGGCAATGAATGCAGTCTTCCTGTTCCAACTGCTCAGAACCTCTTCAAGAGGTAAATAATACAGTCCTGGCCTCGCCTTGCACAGCGAGGGGAGAGTCTGCTTTCTCACTGCTGGGGGCCAGCATTACCACAACGATAGTCACCCCCAGAGCACCCCAGACACGCACACTCTGGGCTTCGGGTTTACACTGCCTTAGAGCAACACGGGCACCACCTCCTAAGGCAGAGAGAGGGTCAGAAGCTTGGGGACTTGGAGCAATCTTCCAGAAAATCACGCTGTGGAGAATGAAGCACAGGTACTCAGAACATATGGATCCTATTTCACTCCAAAGCCACAGCCAGTGCAAAATAGAAGGCAGGGGGGGAAGTGCTGGAGGAGAAGTGTGTTGTGTTGAGCCAAGGGGTGCTCTCGGTGACAGGCTTCCTAGGCACCCTTGGGGCTGGGGGGAGCAGTGAGGGACCGTGGGCCCTGCCTCCACCCCAGGGGGCTATGTACAGAAGAGGGCATCTTGGAAGGTACCACATCTGTCCAGTGTGGACAGGGGTAGGTGGCAGAGGACTCATCGGGACATCTTCCTGACCCTTTTCTGCGCTCCCTCACAGAAGGACAGAGCTTTTGGGCTTGAACCAACTTTATTTTTCAACAGGAGAAGCCCTTGGGAGCACTTCAGGGAACAGCACTGTGGGCTGAGAGGAAACCTGCCCATCTACTCACAGAGGTAGGCTGGGAGCAGTGAGACGGATGGGAACTCCCGAGGGTGGAAGTGCTACCAGCAAGGCAGAGCTTTTACATTAAATTATTTCAGAAGCAGCTTTACCACCCTCCCTTGGGCTCTCAAGGGGAAAGGGAAACTTGGCTTCCTCGAAAGCCTTGCTGAGCGTGTTTTCTGTAACTGATCTTCCAGGGAGTCGGTGCTATAGGAAGGGCTTCCAAGCAGGAAACCTTACGGCCACCTCCAGGCAGAGCTCAGGGCCTCCAAGGTGAGGCTGAGTCCTGCTTCAGACCTCTCTACCCTCAGGAGAGTCCAGAGCACTCTCGAGGGCTGATCCTTGATGTGAATGTCCCCTCCCTCCTGCTAGGGAGGGAGCGTCCCAGCGACACCTCCATGGGAAGACAGGCTCTGCGTGCCTGCTGCCTCCGGTGACCCGGTCGCCTGCTGGTCCCTGAGCCCATGCTAGCATCTTCCCGGAGCGCCACAGCCTCCCTGCCTGCCAGCCGCCCATTTCCAGCTGCACCACTCCTTATCTAATCGTGGTGGGGATCTCTGAGGCCCCTGCTACTTTCAGTTCCTCCCCATCATTCCTCTTGTGTTGACAGCCACTTATCATCTGGCTGGAACAGCCACATGCATGCTGTTCCTAGAGGCGGCCTGCCAGGGCCCCTGCAAATCCCATCAGAGAGGGCTTCTTCCTCTTTTCTCCCACTTCCTCTGCATTTCATGCAAAGAATGCATTAGCTTTGTTTAGACCTTGTCTTTCACCATCGCTAGGTTCCAGGACCACTGAATAAGAAAGATGAATAGAAGCTTATGTAGAGAGAATTAACCAGGAAATGATTAGAGGATGCAGATCTAAGAGAGTGGTAAACGATGACTGCGTGAAGTGGGGGGCTGTCCAACTGATTTGGGCACGGAAGAAAGCTGGAGAGGTGACATTTCAGCTGGGTTCTGAAGCATGAACAGGAGTCTGGCCATTTATCATTCATATGTTCAAACTGTCCTTCAGACCATGTGCCATTTAGAAAACAGTCAAAATAAGGGCATTTGATCTGGGACTAAGAAATCACTAAAACTAGCCTGTTCACAAAAATTGTATGTAGATCCTGATATGCAGTTTTGAGAGACAGGCTCATTAGATTCTTTTTTATTTTTGGTACCAGGGATCAAACTCAGGACCTTGCGCTTGCAAGGCAAGCAGCAGCACCACTGAGCTAAATCCCCGGCCCCTAGATTATTATTTATTTTTTTAAATCAGAATCCATTTATATATTTATTTATTTGTTTTTGGTACTGGGGATCGAACTTGGGTCCTTGCACTGCGGCCCCTAGA